ACAGTCACCAAAACGTTTATTAAAAGAGATTTGGAAACTCAAACCCAAAATAAAAAAAAAAAAAGAATAACATTTTTTTTCGAACTATTGAAATAAATCAAAAAACAGTTTTTTAATGTTGATTTGATAAATCATGACCAAAAAAAAAATTTAATAATAAAAATCAGGTGCAATTTCTCTCCTGTTTGTATTGGTTAAAATATGTTGATAAACATATCTTTTACAGTCGATTGTTAATCAACTAAAATGCTATCAACACTGCTATTAGCACTTCTTCAATCAGCTGTAAAGGTTTACAAGCTTCTGATCGAGAAATTAAAATGCAAACTGATGAGAATGGGAAACGGCCTCTGAACCAAACACTAAAACTAACGAAATTCAAGGAACTGTGAACGACATGAACGAAAAATGACTCTATCCGCAACCTCTTAAATTCGCTGAAGGGGGAAAACGACGAAAAAAGACAACAACGGACAAAATAAGTGGTCAAACAAACTCCATACTACTACTTCTGAAATATTTCGGGAGACGTGGATAATATCGAATCAAAAAACTAAGAAATCGCTTCTTTCTACCAGAACCATTGAAGAGACATGTGACTGATACAATAAAAAAAAGAGGGCCTTCTTTTTGCTTTTAAGCTAGGGGATTTTTGTTTGAGGAAAAAAAGAGGGATGAAACCCCGAAACAATATTTAAAAAAAATGTAAACTCAAAAATAACGACCTAGGAAATTTTTTTCTTAAAAACATTTTGTTTTCATTAAAACAAAATAAATTTTTGTATTTAAATTTTTAAACTTTAAAAAATAAGAATTTAATATAAAAACCCAAATTTTTTTTTTCATCGGAAAAAATTTTTCTATACACAAAATTTTGTCAACTTTAAAAACCCTAATCCTTAAAAAAACAAAAATAAAAATATTTTCACTGTAGGTCAATTCATGTTTATTTTCTAAATCATTTTTTTAAACCCCAAAAAACCACTTTAACTTTTTCAAATTTTTTTTTGTAATAAAAATAAAAATAATAAAAGACTGAACTAAACGTCTTATTTATAAATCCCTAATAAATTTTAAAATTTTTTTTCTTTGGGGAAAAATTGTTTGAATAATATAACCTCCCCTTTTTGTTTCTATTTTGTTTTTTTTAAAAAGAGCAAAATGTTTTAATGGGTTCGGGATTTTTAAACTTTTAAGGGTTAAAAGGAAGACTTGGGCCACAACGATTGCACTTGACAAGAACGCGACTTAAAAGAGCTTGAAGCCTTTAAATGAAAAATTTTATTTCTGGAGGGAAAAACCATTTACCGGTTAATGAAAAGTGATTTTATAAAAAATTTTTACACCCCACGGTTTCGCGAAATGGGGTTTGTTAAATGAAATTAGGTTTTCCATCCATGATTTATTTGCTTTTAAAAATTTTTGTTTTAACTACAAAAATGTATTTTTAATAAAAAATGTAAAAAAAACTCATGATTAAAATTTTAAAATTAAAGAGAAAATTTCTCAATTTTCTTTATCCCTTTTCATTGCCCCCGGCATTTTTAATTTAAATATAGCTTTAAGGGGATTCCTTAGCCCAAATTTAATACAAAATTTTTTGTTCAATTTAAATTTTTCTGAAAAAAATTTAATTTAAAAAGGAACCTTCCAATTTTTTAATTTTAACTGAAGAAAAAAAAAAACTTTCCGATAAATTGAAAAATAACGAAAAAATTTGCCAATTGAATTAAAAATTTAAAAAAATTTTTTTTTCCTTTAAGGCAAAAAAATACACCCATAAAATTATTGAAATGAATCGTATAAGAAAATGCTAGGTTTTTTTACAGGGAAAAGGGAAATTTTTTTTAAATAAAAACATAAAAAGATTTTTTTCCCAAAAAAACTTAAAAAAAAAAAAACCCGAGATATACCTTTTAAAACTTCAATCCTTTTTGAAAAATAATTTATCTTTCAAATATTTTTGGAATAAGGTTATTTATAATTTTTTGCCGAAAATAATTTAAAATGCGTTCATTTTTGGAAAATAAGGAAAATTTTTAGTCCAGGGGTTGATTAGAATATTTTTAAAACCATAATTTTTTTAAAAACCCCCGGGGAAATAAATATTTGAATTTTATAAAGGCCCATTTTCAAACTTACATTTTATAATCCCGTTAGGATATTTGCTGTTTTTAAACTGTTTTTTAAACATAAATGTTGAATATGCGGGCTAAATAACCAAATCCCCTTTTAAAAAAACCCCATTTTTTTAGTCTCCCCAAATCTGTTTTTTCGTTTAGGGCAGCCGCTTTTCTTTAAGGGGAAAACCTTTATTGGTTTAAAAAGGGAAAAGGAAACTTACGTTCACTTTAAAGGTTCTATGTTAATCCGATGAAAACATCTGGGGAAATTTTTAAAATTTAAAAATTTCCCCCTTTTCGTGTTAAAATTTAAAATATTCTTTTTAAGCAAAATTTTGGGGGGTTAATGGAAATTTTGCAGTACCCAAATCCGTCCATGAACATCATCAATCAAAAAATAGATAAATACAGAATCCCTAAAGAAAGCCCAACACGGCAAAATTGAAAACCGAGTTTGCATCATTTACAATTTTGGCGTTTTTTGGCGTTCTTTAAAGATTCTGTTTTTCTCTATTTTATGCGTGTTATGTTCAAATTGTTTATAGTAAAAAGTGTGGTCCCTGGGAAGCATTAATCACCACAAAATTACACGAAAATTGCAGACTCTGTTTGATTAAGTTTGTACATGAGACAATGAAAAAGTGCAACATCCCTCAAGCCCCTAGCAACGGCTTCAGAATATTCAATTTTCAACATTTAAAAGTGTTGCATTTAATGATCCCGCAGGAACAGAAAAATAAGACAACACTGAAGCGAAGTACGGGCTGCCACACAGCACTTGACACCTACTGTTGTGGAGTACAAATAGAGAAAATAAGAATCCCTAAAGAAAGTCCAAAATCTGGGAAACCTGTATCTAAAATGCTGTCTATATGTCCCGCCGCCACTACATGTTCAGTTTGTTGTTTCCATGTAAATGCTCTTGATAATAAAAAAGTACATGTACATGTGTATTTCTTCAAATTTTTTACTCGTGTGATTGGATATAGTAACAAAACGTTGTGTGATGTATTCGTTTCATTGGGTCTAACGATTAATTGCCGCTAATACAGGAATCGTCTTGGAAAATAGTCACTTGCCAATTAATTGTTAAATACTGATAAGCATGTCAGATGAATCCACTGCGGAGATATGACCAAAAAGTGTAAGAGAAGCGGCGAAAACAACAAGAAAAACAACCAAATAAACAAGACTTTGTCATAAAGGTATTTCCCGAATAAGTGCTCTCCAATTATTTGTTCAAATAAAATTTCAGTTTCATCATCTTTACTTGGTTTTCTGTATGTCTGTATTTTGTTGCGGCTTCGTTAATTAATTGAATGCCGTTGAATTGTATATCTATGTATTGATTATCCAACTTCATGTTATCAATGTCAACAATTAGAGGCACATTAAATACAATAAGATGGAGCATGGTGTTCTGCTAAAACATGCTTACCTGCCAATCCCATCATTAGTGATGAAAGAAAACTGACCATTACATTAAATGTTCGGGATCAACTGTCTCCAAGAAATTTCGCATTACCCAAAAATAGAACTAGCGACCCTTGGATTACAATTGCAATGCTTTGCCTATTGAACTTAGCTTGCGGAAATGTTTGTTTTGCGCTGTCCTTTTTATTTTCAACATTATCTGTTATACAAGTAACTTGAAGATTCCATATAAATAAGAAAATATATCTGCTAAATCATTTGATAAACTTTAAGACAAAGAAAATTTGCTGCAACCTCTGATCCTCTTTCAAAATTCCATATTTTTTTAGTTTCGCCCATTGTTTTCTCGTTTAGGGCACACGTGTTTTTTTAATTGGGGACTATACGCCGCTTTTCATGGAATGGCACTACTGTGTCACATTGAAGGTTCCATGATAACCGCCGTATGAACACATCTGCGGATGTTTCTAAATTCAAAATTGTACTATTTCATGTTTAAATGTTGAATTCTGCTTAAGCCGGTGCTAGGGGGCGTGGACGGTAACTTGCACTTTCCAGTACCGTCTATGAACAGGCTCAATCAAACCGAGCCTGCAACATTTTCAATTTTGCCGTGTTGGGCTTTCTTTAGGGATTCTGTATTTATCTATTTTACTTGTTTATGTTAAAAATTTATTGTTTACAGTAATTCTTGATCAATAGAAAATTATAATCGCTCAAAAGTTTTCCTTTTTCATTCTGCTATTGTTGTGGTTGTTGTTGTTGTTGTTGTTGTTGTTGTTGTTTGCATAACGTTTTGTTTATCAAAATGATAATATATAAATTATATGAAAAAACATAAGTATGATATTAATAAACCAAATATGCACATTTCAAATTGTAAGAAAATTGTTTTCAACTATTTTTTGATTTTGCTCCAGCAGTAAAAGATGTTTTTATTTATTTATTTTTAAAGAGTGTTTGTCAGTTAGTTTGGTTGGTCTGTTTGTGAACTTTTTTTACGCCAGTCCGCTTCCGGGAACCAACCAGTACAGATGTCATATGAAGATATATGGTCTCGAGTAGGGCTCGAACCCATGATCTCTGTGTTGAGTGGCAGACACCTTAACCATTAGGCCACCACTTCCTTTCAGTCATATCACTGCGTTAGACCCACCACCTAACCGGCTTTCCTGGATAACCCACCAGTAATTACCAACTTCTCAGCAAGTGACCGACTTCTTTTTCTACATCATATCTAAATCAGCAGTGAAAGACTAATGACCAATAGACACATAGTCCAAGATCAATTATCAAGTTGAATTCCGCCTCACTTTCTTTTTTTTTTCCAAAAATTTTTCTTATAAAAATTGATGCAAATATTTATTGATTATGTGGTGTTATTTAATTATTCAATCAACATTTTATGTATTCATTCAAAACAGAACATGTTTGATTGCAGTCTTTGTTATTTATTGAATTTAATTTACAATATGTAAATATTCAATAATAAATCGTAATTTTGAAAATGGCTGGTTCGTAGTCAGGTGTATCGTTCAAGTCTATCCAAACAAACATCTGGCCGTTTGAACTGTTTGTCGAGTGATTCTAGCGAAGTTGTCGAACAAACTTCGTAACATGTCCGTTTTCCTGTTTGTTTCAGAGGCCAAACTCTGAATGGAATCAGTTTGCGTCTTGATTTCGTTTGTGGTGTGGCTGGTAGAACTGATTCTTTCTGCAATATGATCAAAGGAAGACCCGATCGATGCCATGCTTTGTTCAATTTGGTTCGTCGTTCCCTTTACAGTATCGGTTATATCATTGACTGACTGTGCAACTTGCAGGATAGAATCAATGTTTTCATTCATGTGATTTACACTGCTTTGTATTAAGCTGGATTTGGTGTTTGTATCTGTGAACGTACTGCCTAGATCATTTACTTTCTCTAAAATAACCCGTTTGTTGATGCCTGACGCATCATCTGCAATTGTATTTGCTATGTCTGAAATGGCGGCAACTTGCTGTGCAATCGTCTGAAAAGTTAAGAAAAAAAGTATCTTCAGGAAACATCGAGTTTTAACGTAAATATCTATTGTTTCACTATACAAAGTTATATTTATCTAAATATCTTCAACTCGGGGAACAAATTTAAAAAGATCAGTTTTGACTATTAATCAAAGTAGTATCATTTTTTTAAGCGATATGAGTCTACGTATCGTTTAATGCATTGTGCAATTTATCCTAGACATGAATAGACTTCCAACTTGATTTCAAATGCAACACATACAGTAACACGAAATTTCCAAGAGAAACAATGATGTAGACGAAATATAGAAATGTCTCCATAGGCTTTATATTCTGAACATTTTAAACTTTCTCTCCTTACCATTAATTCCGTAATTATCTTTTTACGTGTTAACTTTCAAAAGATAAAATAATAAGAACAAATCATTTCCTATATGTTCTGTTTCTCTCAGTTATGCAGATAGTGGCATTATATCCTTTTTTCAAAATCATCTACATAAAATAATGAAAAATAAAATTTAAGAATAAATTGTGTACAACACTTTTTCAAAAGTTCAAATCATAAAAAAATGCATAAAGTTTCGCCATCTATATATGATACTTGGAATGTGACGGAATTCACGAGATTCAACATCGAGATTTTACCCTTTCATTATCGTAACATTTTTACATATTTTGTTTTACAGATAAACTAAAAGAATAATATGTGCCACGATAACATTTTTTAACATTTCATTACAATTCAATTACATCTTAAGGTGTACTGTTTCAGTGTTAAATTGGTATACTGACTTGCTGAATCCCGTTTATGATGTTTGTCAGATGACCCTGGTTTTGCCGGGCAGCAGCTAGTAACTGCAAGAGTTCAAAACAATTCAATTACAAAATTCAATGGTACTGTAAACATAAAAAGGAACCTTTAACCCCACCGAAAGAACGCATATTAGATCTATATGGTAAAGACCTGCCTGATTGAATCATTCTAACACGCTTCGCACTATTCCACTATCAAAAAGATAGGACAATCAAGTGCATTTTGCATGATATATGCACTGTATAAAAACGAAATCTTACCCGTCATACGACGTCATTTATGATGCCAGTAAACCTAATGACGTCAGGAAAATTACTTCTACGCTCTATGTAATTTAACATATTTCTTATCAATTCTCCTTTTCATTAGTTTGAACATAATATATCTAATTTTACTTGTACTCAAGATTTATATCTATTTCCTAAACAATTGGAAAATATTGTTAAAAGAGACAGGTTGTTGATGAATGGAAACAGTTATTTATAATAAATTATTTTCAGCATAGACATTTACATTTTTTTACAAATTTTAAAGTATTAATTATTTATTTATTTATGTAGCAAATTAAACATTTATGACTGTATGTTTTTGCGCATGACTAGTATTTATAATGGTAAAACTTGAAATAAGGTAAGACGTAAGTGCAAAGTAAAATACTATCGACAGTGCATTGTTTACTTCTTATAGTCTATTTAAGTAAAGGTTCACAACACTGAGGGTCTCATAGAGTTATAATGACCATTTAGTCAGGAATTTGCTGGGAGGTCACTATATTGCTATGACGTCCGAAGTACTGTGTATTTTTCTTATATCATTCTGCACATTGTCTAAATAAAATGGCAAACGTTCACTATAGAAGGAAAGCACATTGTTTAAATAATACAATTTTAGTAAAATATACCGACACTGTTGATAGTGCCGGTTTTGTGAAACATTCATCGCAATTACACGTTAATCAAACTGCAATAGCACCCGTTTAAGCGGTCACTGTACTTTTTTGTCGGACCGCTGACGTAATCGTAAATATTATATTATTTAAATGCCCGCTGACACTTTTCTGATAAAAAGATACACATTTATGTAATGTTCTCGTATAATTTTAAACAATAAAACACCTTTTTTGATAATAAATATTGCAGTTTACTGTCATACAGTGACTATAAAGTTCGATATAAAAGAGAAAAAAAGCAAGTAATTGTTGCTTTCAAAAGTGATGCACTTACCATTGTAAAGTCCAACGGCGGAGGAGGAGGTGCCGTGGCTCCACCTCCTCCTCCCCCTCCTCCGTAAACATTCTTCAAAAAGAAAAGAAGCAAGCAAATTTGTCCGAATTTAATGTTTTTTTCGGCACGATACGTACCAATGTAGAAGAAATTCAACCTGAAAGATTTTAGTAAGTAATACTGACTCTTATACTTGTTAATTGAATATACCATAAGGCTTGAATATTTATTATGCCTGTAAGTAATTTGCAAACTGATGAGCCGAAATAATATCAAAGAGTTTTAAAACGTAATCTTGATTTTTATCGCAATTACGTGTCACAACTGATTACATTATGTTAAACCACTTGCCCCTCACCTCTGTGGGTTTGAATCCCGACAGGGACTTTGGATTCTTTCATGTGAGGAAGCTATCCAGCTAGCTTACGGAACGTCGGTGGTTCTACTCAGGTGCCCGTTCGTGCCTGAAATAATGCTTCCTCCACCAGTAAAGCTGGAACGTCGCCAAATGACCTATACTGTGTCGGCGTGACGTAAAACCCAAACAAACAAAAACAGTATGTTAATTGTAATATATTTGTTTTCACTTACAAAAACTGCATTATATTATTCATAATCGTTTACAATTATCATGTTTTATAAAAATCATATATGCTTCATCGACTTACACTTATATCAGAACAAATAAAAGAAAAAGAACATACTAGATATTTGTATTAAATGCGTGTATTTGGATTAAAAAGTATTATCGAGACAAAAAGGAAATCAAGGCGAATCATATAGCTAGCAACACATTAGGAACAAACTTGTTTGTAACGACTTGCCAGTCTATAAATTTATATAACTTGTGAATGGCTGAATAAATTACCGCGTCAAAAAGTTCGTTGATACAAAATATAAAGGGAAATAAGGATACCTTGCTTAGCAGATGGTGCTTAAAATGATAAAATTGGCAAATAGTGGAGACTCAGTCAGACTTGTTAGGAAGAGTAATATCATTAATAACTTAACTACCCTAAAGTAGAAGATCGAATGCACAGGAGTTTTAATGTCACTCGCTTAGAAAATTGTTAAGAAAATACGATTTTTTTCGGTTTCTACCTTTTCTTGTTTCTTTCTTTTTTTTAATTGTCTATTATAGAGTAAATAAAGGTTAATAAATTGCTGGATGATGATCTGGTATTTTGTCAAGTTTAGCAAATGGCAAATTAGATATCAATCACTCCCTGTAGAACTAGATTAATGCTGTCTATTCATGCGCATGATCTATACATTTTTCCTTAAGGATAGCATTATGCATTGACAAGATCAAATTTGCTTAAATTTTGATAAAATCAAAACTAAAATCAAAACTTAGACTGTAGTTACTCGGCAAAATTTGTATACTCATATTTAATCATCCTTAAGTTATATATCGTATTGAATAAAATCTTAGCTCTTTGTTTCATTAATAAGGTATTAAAAAGAGGGTGTACTCTGTTAAATGATAGTTATGCTCTATTAATTATATATTTGAATAAGCAAAATAAACACACAAACGGCATTATATATTAAAAGCCAAACGCGATATTTTAATCTAAATTGGATATTTGTTAAATCAGAACATTGTTGAACCTGTGAAATGTGCATAAAACAGTTACAGAACATAAATTTACAAATTCTCAACTTATTGTTCAGCTTCTAGATTTTTTACACATTACATACTTTACAGATAAGTAATATATTTGAATTGGGAGTAAGGTGTAAGACAACCACTGCGATGCACTCTTGCACAATTTAATACCAAATTGCCTAATCTTTGATTTTATACCTAAAATAGATCTTTACCTATGTGTTTGTTAGTGTATATTTCATGTATAAGTTGTAACCTTTTGTTTAATTAACTATCTATCCAGCTATATTATTATGTTTCTCAACGCAAAAGTTTTGTTGATATGATATTAGAAACAAAATTAAGAAAATCATTTCTATATACGAGAATAAAAAATTCAAATCTGAATAATTAATTCAAGATTAAAATAAAAAATACGTATCAAAATCTTTCAGATTAGAGACTAATGATTACATATTTAATGGCCCTTTATATCGGAATTGATAAGAGATGCACGCTTGAGTTCATCATTAACTTGGGTAAAATGTCTTAAAAAAGTTTCTGTTTTGATTAGTAAAGTTTAAATAATAGTATACATCTCATTTATTTTTAAGAAATTTAATTATTTTAAAATTTTCGCTGTGATGGGGCAAAAATGTAGCTGACTAAATATTCAGAATCACATTTGAACAAAAAACCATTGTGAATACTTATGTTCATGCTATCTATGAGACAAGTAAATTGAATATATTTGTTGACAAGATCTTTTTGATATACAATATTATTGACTGTCAATTTCAAACTATATTTTTATCGCCTATATATTCCAAGCCTAGATATACCATATTTCTAAAACTATGTTTAGCTTAACTAAAGATTAACTAAAGTTTTTGTGAAAAAAAGCAAACAGAAAGGCAGTCATATTCCCTGTTCAACAACTGGAGACTTGAAGAAAAGCTAATAGTCCTGTTAAGTCTTATTTATCAATTTATCAATAATCCTAACAAGAAACATGTGTAGGCGTTTGTACAAAAGAAATAGAAATAAATGATAAAACAATTCAACTCTGTGTCAAAATACGTCTTAAGTTATATCACAATCGGCAGAAAAACTATACGCTCCGGAATTGAATGGCGTCATTTAAGGTGATAAATTGATAAATTAGGCAGCCAAAAAGAGCCTGCTATGTATCCTGTCATAAGTAATAATAACATAGCTGTCATTAAGAAGTAAATAAATGATAACTATCGTAAATAAGTTAACATTTTTCTTTCCTATATATTTTACATTCAATAAATTTGAAAATGTATTGTAACGGAAGCACTTTTTATGTATATATCAAACATTAAAATCAGAAAAAGATGAGGTCGATTGAAAGCAATAAAACAAAAGTTCAACAGGGATAATTGTAGCAGGATAGGTTTGCTTTGGTATGTTCGTGAGTGATAATTGTAAGTACAACCATACCAATATTTAGTATTCAAATATCTATTAATATTTGGTATGATTAATATCATTTAATATGACATCATTAATAGATGGGTCTAAACGTGCGTCGTATACGGTTTCTTATAGTTTTATTTTTCAATAACCAAAGATTATTTTACATGTGACAGTTGATCCCATCTCTAAAGTAATACGGATATCAACAAGCCACAAAAATTCTCGTTATTGTATGTGCAGAATAAATCAATGATAAAGAAGCATTTGTCAGAAAAAAAACAAGCTAAAGAAGCATTTGGTAGAAAAACAAGTTTAAAAGATCAGTGTCTGCTTTAAACATTTATTCATTTAGTAATGGCCTGGGAACAAATAGGTGTCAACCTCTTAATGGATAGAAATTTAATGACGTATAAAAGGCGCCAATTTCGTTGGCAGTCAAAATGAACATTTAATTAAATGCCATCATACTAAACCAAACATAAAAATATTTTAAATTTCACTGGTTACAGTCGGTCAAGAAGAAGTGACGTAAATTCTGTTTTTAAATTAGTAATGGGATCAAGCAAAAATGTAAAAAAAGATCGAAAATATTATTTTATGTAGAAAATATATTGTACCAATGTTTATCTTTCGACAATTGTATCTAATATGCAAAACAATTTTATCAGCATATTAATTCCCATTTTCAAAAATGGATTTGATAACTATAAAAAAATCAGCTGGAAACAGTTTCGGGTGGAATATATGAGGGAATTTCTTTACAAACAGATTTAATTTAATTTGATAATTTTTTATATAAAGATAAGCAATGATTTCCATGTATGTATTTCAAAATACATAAGTATTTTACTTGCAATATTCCATATCTAATAAGATGTCCAAGACACTTTACTTGCCTTTATGTCGATAAAAATAAGTTTCTTTGATATATGTGATGCTATAGGTTTCAATTGTTCATGTGATAAGTAGTCAATAATTATTTCAATTTGTCCGATGTTTTTCTTTTTATATCTTATACGTTGTCATGTAATTTAAACTATACCACTTTGGATAACAAATTCCACAAACACGGCAATAAGTATTTAGACACTGCCAATGTTACCGGGAAAAATTGAAGAGTTGAATGACAGTATAGTTATTTGTTCCAGTAGAGAAATGGGATTTTTTTATACTGTGGGTTTCTAAGTTTATTGGTTTATACAGACATTTTTAACATCAATTTGTCTCAGTCTTTTCAATTTTATGTATACTTACTGAGCTTAAATTCACTTAATTTCACAGATTGTCAAATAAATGTATAATCTATTAACCATGCGTTCTAGACGTTGTAGACTAGTTTTTAGTAACACTCATTTGCTCTATATAATACATAAACCATGGTTTGGTTTGTCTTGCTTTGTTGGCGCGAATTAGTATTTTGTATGGAAGTCAAAATATAATTTATATTACAGTTTGCTACCTTGACAATACATCACTGCATTTTCAAAGCTTTTTTGTCAGTTGTTGATTATTTAACATGCTCTTAAACTATTATTAAAACATTATTAAACACATGTTTTGCATTCATAAAGAATTTTAAAAATATGAATTTAATATAACTTGCAGCAAACATCTCTGACTTTAAAATAAAATGTACTATCATAAATGTTTTATTTTGAAGTATGAGTTTCGACATTATCTATAATTAATGTCATCTTTAAAAAGAAAATATCGTATTATGCTTAAAATTGCACTTAAAAACACAACTAGTATACAAGTTTTGAATTGAAAAATATAATAATCTACAATATACATGTACTTCTTCACATATGTGTTGAGAACAAATATCTTAAACAGTTCTAAACATGTTTGAAATAATGCTGACAAAATAAATTATTGTAAATTATATTTATGTTTGTTTGTTTGTTTGTTTTGGGTTTTACGTCACATCGACACAGTATAGGTCATATTGCGAGTTCGTATAATTGTATAGAAATACAAAAAAAATATAACATTATTATTTATAATCAGTTAATAGGTTTTCGTAATGTTATTGTTTTAGTGTATGAAGCTATATATCAACCGCCTGTTTTATTTATTTATTCATGTTTTAGTTTTGGAAAAGAATCATTTCAAATAACTATATGTATAAAGCATTGTTAGTACATTTCATTTTGAAGGTACATACATAACACCATTTATTTAAAATAGTAAAGATTATTTAAATACGGAACATTGTATCCTATTGACGTACCGTTCAATAACAGAAACATTCAATGTTATAACCCTTTTGAATATCAACTTTAAGGTTATGGAAACATCATACATTTGATTAGAAATTGTATTAAATATACCGGTTTACCCTTTAAGTTTGTGTTTCTAGTCTTTTTATAATATAGTGTTCATTATCATTTAAATTTATTATTTTATATTGAATTTCCTTATTCATATTTGTTTTTGTTTTGTTTTGTGTTTTTGTATTTCCCAAAAAATGAACATAACATATCTATAAGGATTACAAACCCCAATTCAAAATTAAGACTAATTTGGTTTGCTTCTGACTTTTTCTTATAACTAAATTTCAAGCCTGTTGTCAGGGGTAACAGGTTCGTTTAGGATAAGCGAGGTCTGGAATTCAAATCCCAGTCAAGATTTCTTTAAGTGTGTTTTAAGCGATTTAAACATTTTTTCTAGAATACAATAGAATTAGCCACGATATGCAGAAGCAAAGTATGGCTGTCATAAAAATGTACAAAATATGATAAACAAGATTAACAAGGAAAGGCGGCATTCAATGAACGCAGCCCCCACCCGACCCAGTAACAAAAGGCCAGTGTTAGAAACTCTGGCCATGCAAAATTCCGTATATATAAAACTCAAACTGATATAGCAACGATCTAGATGGTTTATATTTTTTGAAATTCTTTAGATATGAAGATATTTATGATTACGTTTCATTAGATTTCCTACATACGAACATTGGTTTTAGTTGTTGGAAAATATATGTCATTTTTAAGCCTGTGAAAAGGAAATTTTATTTTACGGCATGCATTTATCTAAGATAGAACAAAGTGTAAAACACAATGAATACTTGTTACTTACAGTTACTTTGTAAATTGTATAGGTCCAAAATGAAACAAACACATAAATTATTTCTACGAAAAAACATGTTTCATGTGCAAAAATAATTCTTTTTAATTTTGGTGATTAAAATTTGGGAAAATAATTAAAGATTGGGTATAGCACTAAAAACAATACTAATGATGACTTGTTTTTAATTTGTAAAATAAATGCATTATACCTTCTAGATAAGAAAAAATGTTTTGAAAAGCTTTTTGGTGACCATTAGGGTCAGTTATCCTTAAGCTGTAGTATTTCCCAATATCAATTACACGAAAAGTGTAAATATTTCACCGT